GCCCTTCCCCAGGCGGCTCCGGCTCAGGGGACGGGGCCCCAGGCCTGTCTGCCTGCGCAGGCGCAGTGCCCAGACACCCCCGCTGCCCAGCCTGGGGGGCCGGCTCTGCCCCCGCGTCCCGAGATCTCCTACCTGTCGCCAGCGAGTAGCGGGTCCTGGTGACCTCGAGCTCGAACTGAAACTCCTGGATCACCTGCTCATATTTTTCCAGCTGGGCCATCAGCTCCTCCTCGAAGGACGGGTCCGGGGAGCAGGACCGCCTCCTGCCGCCCTCCTGCTCCAGCGGGGCCTCGTCTTCCTCCACCAGCTCCAGGTCCGCCTCCTGCCCGTCCTCCCCCTGCTCGCCCGCAGCGCCCTCCTCGGCCGCCCTCTGGGGCTCCCCTTCCAGCCCCTCTTCCTCCTCCGCGGCTCCCAGGTCCCTGGCTTTGTCCGCCATGACATAATCCTCCTGCGCCTGGGGACAGAGGGGACGCTGGGCAGGGCTGTAGGTGCTCCGGGGGGCGCAGGGGCAGGGAGCACGCTGGGTGCTCCCACGTCCCCAGCCCAGAGGTCACAGCCTCCCAGCCAGGGGGGGACTGCAAGGGGCCAGCTCCCCCGGCGAGGGGCTGGAGTTGCTTTTCCAGGTGGGAGCTGCCCCGCCACCCTCCCGTGTTCCCTGGGGGTGGGCCGCAGGGTTAGGGCTGCAGGTGGGACCGCGTGGCCCCCGGAGGCGAGGCCGGGGCCGAACCCGCTCCTTTGCGCCCGGCCGGCCGCACCTGCCTCCATCGCTGCAGCTCCTCCTCCTCTTTGCTGAAGGTCTTCAGGATGCTGAGCCTGCCCGGCAGCTTCAGCCCCGACTCAGAGGTCCGCTCCTGCAAGACGCCCCGCCCCGTGGGCCTCAGGGCCGCAGCGCCCCCTCACGACCCGCCCTCCGGAGAGGCGATGGCAGCCTCTCTGCGTCAGGGGGAGGCTACAGTGACCGGCAGGTGGCAGCAGTGGCCTGGCAGCAACGGGCATCAGGAAGATCAGGGTCCACCTTGGACATGCCCACCTTGCACACAGGTGCCCACCCTGCTCTCTGTCCCCTCGTCCCTCACTCACAGCCCTTGGGAGGCTGGGCAGTGCTTCCAGTGCCCCCCAAGACTCCGCTGTCCCCGCCCACCGGCTGCCCCATAGTTGGTGTCAGGGCAGTTTTTTGTGCAGACGTCCATGGGGTTCGGCCATGGTCCGAAGCACGCTCCCCCCTACTCATGTGTGTCCCCAGCATAAAATCGGGCTGTAGCCTCAGGCATGAAAGAAATAAGGTCTTAGAGAGACCAGGGGCTGCTGACCGGGCCCGGCAGAGCTGCCCCCAGACCCCGCCTGACCTGCCTTGGTCAGCCCTCTGCCCAGACCCGGCAAGGGGCAGCATCCCCCAGCTCCATCTGATTGGCAAGGACACGTCCCACAGAACAGGTCCGGCTAATCCAAGTCACAGTCGCCCTGGGGTCATGGCCTGGCCAGGTCCGGGGACGCCTCCTGCAGGCGCCCTCCCTCCTGATGACAGAGGAGCTGACCCTCCTCTGACAGGTGAGGAACCTGAGTCCAGAGAGCGCCAGAGCCCGTCCCAGGCAGAGCGCAGGACGCTGTCCAGCTCGTGGCTCTTTTCTGTCTCGTGTTCCCTTAGCCTCTCCTCGGATTCTGGCCTGTTGCTGAAAACCCTGAGCCCTAGCCTGAGCTCCAGGGACCTGGCGGCCTTCCAGGACGACCGGGCTGGGGGGACGAGGGTTCTGAGGGTCACCAGGAGGTCCGGACGCTTTGGGAGCCGAGCCTGCAGCCCCCGCGCCCTCCTCACCTTCATGCCCTGGTACACCGACGAGTCCTGGCTTTTGATTTTGAGGAGGTATTTCAGCTGCTTCTTCAGGACCTCCCTCTCCTCCTGGAGCACCAGGATCTCCTCATCTTTCTTCTGCATCTGCATCTCCAGCTTGGAGAGGCGCTGGACCTCCTCCCCCAGCGTGGACAGGCAGTGATCCTGGCAGAAAACGGGGGCAGCCCCGTGTGCCACACAGCCACACCTTCCTCACTCCCTCCACCCACCAGCAGGACGACGGCAGCTCCAGGCCCAGGAAGAGCAGACCTGCTGTCCCGGGACCTTGGAACCTGGGGCCCCAGATCTGTGCCTCTTTACTACAGCCACTCCCTGACTACAGCCATGCCCTGGCTTAGGGCAGGTCTGAAATCCTTGCCCAGGGAGATTTCCAGCAGCCTCCCCTTCAGCCTGGCTCTGGGCCAGCTGGCCACTGTGACTGAGGACACCAGTCTTCTGTGCAGCCCCACAACTAACCAGAAACTCCCTCTGAGGGCCACCCCTGGGGGCCTTCTGCCCCTCAGTCTTCCGTTCTCAACATCTTAATGCCCTAGATTCTAAAAATTTGGAGACATAATACAGATGGGGTTTTTTTGGACACACAAGAAACAAAGAATTTGTCCCCAGCAGACCTGAAATTGGAGAAACTAAAGAGAATTCTTCAGGCGGGAGAAAGATGGTCCCTGACAGAATTCGGAAAGGAAAGGTAATTAGAAAGTCCTCCAGTGGTTGGACATTAAGTGATAGGCTTCCACACAACCCACGAGTCAAAGAAGTCAGAAAGGAAGTAAAAAAAGACTTTAAACTGAACCATAATGAACACTTGGGCATATTGAGACTTGTTGGGGTGCAGCTAAAGCTGTAATTAAGGACAAATTTATAGCTTTAAAATGCATCTATTAAAGAAAACAATGGGAAGCAGTTACGTAAGTATCCATCTCTGGAATTCAGAAAAAGAACTGCAAATTAAACTTAAAGAAGAGAGCCCTGGCTGGTTTGGCTCAGGGGTTAGAGCATCGGCCTACAGACCGAAGGTTCCCGGGTTTGATTTTGGCCAAGGGCACGTACTTGGGTTGCAGGCTTGATCCCCAGCCCGTTGGGGCATGTGCAGGAGGCAACCCATTGAAGTGTCTCTCTCACATTGATGTTTCTCTCTCTCTCTCTTTCCCTTCCACTCTCTGAAAAGCAGTGGAAAAAATATCCTCGGGTGAGAATTAAAAGAAAACAAAAGAGAAGGGGGAAGGGAATGGACAGATAAGTATAAGAATGAATGATACAGCGAGGGAGAGAGAGGGAGAGAGAGGAGAGGGCAAATATGGTAACATTTTCACATTTGGAGGATCTGAAGGGTGTGTGGGAGTTATTCCTACTATTAGGTTAGAGGGGAAAATACTCATGCAGAGATCATGTATCTTCACCCTGGCCGTGGTCACTTAGACACCCACACGTGTCCGGAACCAGACAGTGATGACTGGGAAGGAGGCGCTCATTTCCGCTGGGGTTGCTGAGTTTGCACAACACCCGAGCATTGCTGCAGGTGGCTGTCTTGCCTCCGGAGGAGACGGGCTCACCTGTGACAGCTCAGAGGCAGGCAGAGAGGAGAGGAGGGGAAGCCTGGGGATACGGTTTGAGTTCCTGGAGGCAGCCAAGCCTGCAGCCCTTCCCCTGGGGGGTTCATATACATGAGCTGATGATTTCCATTCTCAAAGTTTGAATTAATAATAGCCCTGCAAAGAATATCTTTTTACTATATCTCAGTGACTCCTATTATATCCTCAGGCTATTTCCCCAGAGTGGTCAATTGCCTGGTAAAAGGGTAGCAATACTTTTTTTAAAAAAATTTAACGTGTGGGGCTGTTATCACACTTTTTTTTTTTAAATTTTTAAAAAATGTGTTTTTATTGGTTTCAGAGAGAGGAAGGGAGAGAGAGAGAGAAACATCAATGATGAGAGAGTCATTGATCAGCTGCCTCCTGCCCGCCCCTTGCTGGGGATCGAGCCCGCAATCCAGGCGCTGACTGGGAGTCGAATTGTGACCTCCTGGATCACAGATCGATGCTCAGCCACTGACCCACGCCGACTGGGCATCAACACTTTATAAACTGTGAAATCTATCGTAAGATGTAGAGACAGGGTTTAGGGAATCGATGTAAAATGGGTACTCACGGCCCCTCACTACCGGGCCTCTCACTGGCCAGTCCCCCTGCGGGCCCACCAACCACCCACCGTTTCGTGGTTCTCAGGTCCACCATCGGCGCTAAACCTTCACCACCTTAGAAAACAAGACAGAAGCTGATCCTAAGAAAAGACTATTCACGTCGATAAACGTCGAGCAAGACCGATGGAGAGTGAGATGCCAGGAGTTAGCAATGTTGGCAGGGACAGACAGACGGCCTCCTGCAGCATCTCCGCGGGTGTGGGAAGGATGACAGGGTTAGAATAACACATTAGAAAATCTACACGGAAGGGACACATTCCTAAAAAAAATCATAGCTCACCCAAACTGAAGCCGGAAGAGAGAGGACATCTGAATCTCTTAACAGGAACGGAATTTGTTGTTTTAGAAACCAACCTTTAAGGTCTCTCCAGACACAGATGGCTTCAGAATTTAGCAAAGAGACAACCCCGATCTTATGCCAACTCTTTCGGAGAACAGGAAAAGAAAGCAGGAAAACGCACCCTAACTTTCTTCGGTTACAAGGTCAGATTAGCTCTGTCACCAAAATCAAACCAAGGAATTTCGGGACAGATAGCTAAGGGGGGCCCGTCGGTCAGAAACATAACTGGGAAAAATGACGCTGGGGGAACTGACTGGCAGGCCGAGCTTTACCCATCCTGCCGATTGTCACTGTTCCCAAGGGCCCACTCTCGCAAGTGGCACGGCTGGGCCAAAGTCCCTCAGCTGCTTGGAGGTCACGATGGGTGTTGGGGGGCTGCATACAATTTGGTGAGGTCCCCTGAGGCTCCGAGCGCCACCCTCCGGGCTCAGGATGTGCAGGGACCTGAGATTTGTAGAACCTCTGATTCCCAGACGCCAGGGAGGGGCCTGGAGGTCAGTTTAGACCACGCCTGGGGACCCGCGTGCTCAGCCAACCAGACTCTAGAGCCGAGACCGGGGCGCGGGCGGGCAGGACGGGGCTCTGGGAGCCAGGGCCCGCGCTCCCTCGGCCGTACCTTCTCGTGGATGACGGAAATGTACCAGGGTATCCGCTTCCTCAGGTGGCCGGTGCCCAGGGCGGAGCTGCTGCCCACCGGGCTCATGGGCTGGGACCAGCTCGCCTTCCGCAAGTAGTGGAACTCGCAGGCGCTCTTGCTGAAGGGGAGGCGGGGCCCTGTGCAGAGGCAGGGGCGTCGGGCTCCTCCACGGGACCGTCCCCTCCCCGAGGCCCCTCAGAAACCCGTCCTTGTCCGGCTGGGGTCCCCCACGCCTCCGGGCCCCACACTGCCATCCGTGCCCGCCCCGGCCCAGCGTGGCCGCTGACCAAGCGCAGAGGTGCAGAGCAGCCCGCGGGCCCCCGGAGCCCGGGGTCAGGCCGGCTCGGTCATCCTGAGGCCGCTGAGCACAGTGGCCCCGGCGCAGGCTGAGGTCCTGGGACGTGGGGCCAAGGAGAGGACCCCAGCGCCCGGCGGGGGCTGCCCTCACCGTCCACCTTCATGTCCGAGTCCTGCTGGCCAGGGAACGAGTCCTCAGTCGACTTCCAGGCCTTGGAGCTCAGGCAGGTCTCCACGGGCAGGGAGAGGGTGGAGGCCGACCCTGCAGGGCGTTGACAAGGGGCCGATCACCACGTGGCTTCCCAGGACCTCGCGCAGGTGTTTTGTTTGTTTGTTTGTTTATATTAACCTTCCCCCAAGGAGTGAGGGTGTTTTTTCCATTGATTTTAGGAGAGCGGAAGGGAGGGCGAGGGGGAGAGAGAAGCCTGGGTGTGGGAGAGGCTCGTGGGTTGGTTGCCTCCCTCGTGCGCCCTGATGGGCGGCGGGCATCAGACCTGCAACCAAGGCCCATGCCCTTGACGGGGAATCGAGCCCGTGACCCGCCGGTGTGCGGGCTGGCGCTCTAACCACTGAGCACGCCGGCCAGGGCCAGGGCAGGCGTTTTCATGTCTTTTTTTTTTTTTTAAATATATCTTTATTGATTTCAGAGAGAGGAAAGGAGAGGGAGAGAGAGAGAGAAACATCGATGAGAGAGTCATTGATCGGCTGCCTCCTGCACGCCCCCGACTGGGGATGGAGCCCGCAACCCCGCATGTGCCCCGACCGGGAGTCGAACCCCGATCGCCCGGATCCTAGGTCGACCCTGACTGGCTGAGCCACGCCGGCCGGGCTCATGCCATCTCTTTATAACCACCCCGAGGATGAACGGTGATCCCCTCGGTGGCCGCACAGGACGGAACCCCGGGAATCGTCTCAAACACGGTTGCGACTGCTACGTGCCCCCATGTGTCCACTGAATCGTACCGGCTGCAACTGAATTTCTGCAAATCGGGGCACCCCCTCCCCCCACAGGACAGACCCGGTTCCCTTCTGTAAAAATGGCTCCTCCTCAAAGTCTCTCGAAGCCCCGCCACCCGCCGGCCCAGGGGCAGACCCTGCTTCCCGGAGGCCTTCACCAGCCGCACCATGGACAGGGCCCCGTGAGCGCCTGCGGGCGCAGACCCCGCACCCAGGACACGGTCCCTCGGTCCTTCCCGGAGACCTGCCCGCACGTCATGGCCGATCTGCGAGACGCTGGCCCTGAGGGGACAGCCTAGAGCCTGGAAGGGTGGGTGGGGTCCTGGCTGAGACCCGCACGCAGGACCCAGGTGCTGGCTGCGGGGAATCCCCACCATCATCACCATCACACAGGATAGTGTCCTAGGTCCAGGCCGGCAGGTCTGCGGTGACGCCTGGCCTGGCCGATGCTCCCCGGGGCCCACCGCCTGCCTCAGCTGCCCTCTCTGAGCCTCAGAGCATGTGGGTGGGACAGGCGGGTGCTGAGGCTCCTTACAGGGCCACCTGCGGCCACGACGGTCTTGTTTTCTTGCATTTCTCAGGGGTCAGGTCGTAATTGCCTATCTTGGGCCTTAGGGGCCTCTTCCCTGAAGCTTCCAGAATCTCCAACCTTCTCTCTCTCGCCCACCCCAACCCCCTGGCTCTCTGGCAAATGAGGCTGGGAGACGAATCGTGACACGAAGGGTGGGTACCGAGGGCAGGCGGTCCTTTCCTCCCGGGCCCCCTCCCGTGGTGACACAGTGATGTCAGGAGCTGGCTGCCTGCCAGGAAGGTCCCCGACTCCAACCCGGAGGGAGGCGCTCTCTCGGGACCCCCGGTGGCAGCTCTCACCGTAATTGGACATGGACGTGGCCCGGGTGCAGAACTGCGGGCAGCCGGGACGCTGGAGAAACACCCTTCGCAGCTCCTCCATTTCCAGCGCTAAGGTCCTGTCCAGGGGGCTGGCATCCTGCAAGAACTCGCTCTGCAGGGCAGAGCGAAGGAGACGGTCACAGGAGAAAAACATCCGGGGCTGCCAGGGCCTTGTCCCCTGTGCCAACCGCAGCGGTCTGTCCCCTCACTGCAAGCCGCAAGCTTGCTGACAGCCACGCAAACTGGGTGGACCCTGCTCTAGAAACCTCAGCGGCTGAGCCCAGGGGAGAGAGCCCGGGGCCCTCGGGGGCCCTCCAGTCTCCCTCGGCATGTGGCAGACGCAGGACCCCACCCGAGGGTTCCTTTCACAAGCTCTCTTCTCCCCCCTTTGCTCCTTTCCAAGACCCCCCCTAAGGAAGGCTCCCCATCTTCCCACCATCACGAGAGCCTATTTGGAGAGCTCCAGGGGGCCTATGGGAGCAGGAAGCCGCCCCCTCCCCGCCTCCCCCGCTGGGCTACCTTCCTCCTGTAGTACAGGTTGATGGCCTGGGCCGACTTGCTGAGGGAGTGCTGCTTGGGGCGGAGCTTCCACTCCGGGGTGTGGCAGTCTCTCCCGGCCACGCTCCGGAGCACCATCAGGCCTTTCTCCATCAAGTTGGGCAGGACATTAGGATTTGGGGGCCTTCTGGCCCCCAGAGGCAATATCTGGAGCTGAGGACCGAGGGCCAAGCTTCCCCACCTGCAGGGTGACTTGGAGCAACCTTCGGATGAGCCCCGCATCCTGGAGCAGGGCTCGGAGGAGGGACGGTCCCCGCGTGGGCCTGACGCCTGGCACCGGCCCGGAGGAGACCCGCTTCCGAAGCTCTCCATCCTGGGGGAACCTGGGAGCCGTGTGTGGCATCACAGATGTCTCCGTGGAAACAGAGCAGGTCATGCATCTTAATTTCCTGAGACTGGTCCTGAGACGGGGCCCCGGGGGCTGCTTCCTCTGGGTCTCAGGATGTCCCGAGCAGGGGGAAGTGGCCTGAGGGGCACTGGCAGCCCTTCTCCTGTCTGTTTTTTCTGTTTTGCCTTTTTCCGCCCCCATCATCAGAACTTCACCTTACTTAAAACCTGGCACTGGCTCAGTGGCTCTGATTTGAAAATTAGACATCCTTGGTTAAAATCCACAATTTAGAAGCATTTCTTTTCTTTTTAAAGATTTTTTTATTGATTTTTAGAAAGAGAGGAAGGGAGAGGGAGAGAGTGAAAGAGAAACACTGATGGGCTGCTTCCCGCATACCCCCTGCCAGGAACCGGGCCCGCAACCCGGGCACATGCCCTGACCGGGAATCGAAGCGGTGACCTTTAGGTGGGGGGACAACGCCCAACCAGCGGAGCCACCCCAGCTGGGCTAGAAGCATTTGTGAACACCGGATATTATATTTCTTTTTAAAAAATAAAACTGGGGGTGGAGAGGGGAGAGGCGTCCTCTAGAGAAACGCTCACTGTGATTTTGTTAAAGCCGCACTGTCCTGGATTCTTGGACGCACAGTCCTTGGGCTCACAAAGGACCTTAAGGAGTGGCCTTGGCGAGTCTCTGGGTCCAGGCTGAAAAATTTCTTTACAGCCACTTCATGGTTTTCAAACTGCAGTTAAAAAAAACACAACAGAAAACAGGCATGAAAGATCCCATTGGTAGGAAATTGTGTGTGACTCCATCTATATGAAGTGTCCCGAGCAGGCACATGCACAGAGAGAGACAGACAGGGGCCGGGCCTGGGGATGGGCGATGGGAGGGAGTGTCCTGGGGGCGGAAAATGTGCTGCACAACAGGGTCGCTGTGCCACGTGCCACTGATCGCACACTTTTATTTTTATTTCATTTTTAAAAATAGGTTTTTATTGATTTCAAAGAGAGGAAGGGAGAGGGAGAGAGAGAAACATCAATCACAAGAGAGTCATTGACCGGCTGCCTCCTGCGCGCCCCCTGCTGGGAATCGAGCCCCCAACCCGGGCCTGTGCCCTGATCAGAAATTCAACCCTGACCCTCCTGGTTCATGGGATGACACTCAACCACTGAGCCACGCCGGCCGGGCTCTTCGCACACTTTAAAATGATGTTTTTATTTTAATTAAAAAAACTGTAGCCGTGGGCGGTGTGGCTCACTGGTTAGAGCACCGGCCTGCCCGCCAAAGGGTCTCAGGTCCGATTCCTGGTCAAGGGCACGGGCCTGGGTTTCAGATTCGCTCCCCAGCCCTGGTCGGGGCACGTGCGGGAGGGAGGGAACCAATCGATGTGTCTCTCTCACATCAATGTTTCTCTCTCTCTCTCTCTCCCTTCCACTCTCTTAAAAGCAATGGAAAAAATATCCTCAGCTGAGGGTTAACAGCAACAACCAAAAAACAAACAAAAACCCCAGCAGCTGTCACACGCATGAGTCCCCTACAAGGCTATACATTCTGCTTTTAACAGCATTTCAAAGCGATTGAGAGACGCAGTCTTTTTTGCTCACACGTGTCTCCCTTCGGCCCGAACAGCTTCACTGAGCATTTCTTGCCCCACAGGCCTGGTGGCGACACGTTCTCTTAGGTGTCCTCCTGGACGCGGGTCTAGGTTGCCTTCCCTCTTGAGGGCGTTTTTGTGAAGACTGACCAGTTAAATACGCAAGCGCGGGCCAGAGCTCGCTCGCCCGCCGTGTCCTCCCTGATCTGCGTGGACCCCGGCACCGTTCCTTTCACCCTCCCTCCCCCTGACCCCCACGTGCGTCTCCCCCATCTCCCCCTGCCCGGCTCGGCATTGCCCCCCGGGATCCGGGGGACATTCAGACCTGCTGCGCCCTTTCTCTCGGGGGCCTGCGATCCGGAGATCATGTGGAAAGACGGACCAAAGGACTGGCTGTCTGGTAGCGTGTTTCCAAATCTGACCCCGTCCTTCTGGGACGGGATTAAGATGATGTGGAGGATATTTGCACACCCATCTATAGCAGCAGTGTTCACACTCGCCAAAGGGTAGAAGCAACCCAAGTGTCCATGGGTAGATGGGTGGGTCTACAAAATGTGGTCTATGCAGGCAATTGAATGGGATTCGGCCTTAAAAAGGAAGGAAATTCTGCCCGGCTGCTGGGGCTCAGCGGTTGAGCATCGATCCATGACCGGGAGATCGCGGTTCGAGTCCCAGTCGGGGCACAGGCCGGGGTTTCGGGCTCGACCCCCAGCAGGGGGCGCGCAGGAGGCCGCCGATCAATGACGCTCCTCATGGATGTTTCTCTCTCTCTCCCTCTCCCTTCCTCTCTCTGAAATCAATAAAAACATATTTTTTTTAAAAAAGGAAGGAAATTCTGACACTTCCCGCAACGTGGGTGAATCTCGAGGACATGCGTAGCGAAATATGCCAGGCCCGAGAGAACAAATGCTGTGCAATTCCACTTACGAGAGGACCTAGAGCGGACAGCCTCACGGACACAGGGGGTATGTTGGCGAGGACAGTGTCCCTGGCACAGGTACCAAGCGCGTCGGTCGCGGGGGTGGACGCGAGCTCGGGGCCTGCGGTCCTTGTGATGGGGCAGGGCCGCTAGGAAGGCGAGAGGCCTCTTGGAGGCGGCCAGACCCCGAGGGCAGGTGTGACCGCACCGGCTGCCAGGCTGGTCACACGCGCCGCGGCTGGGCTCACACAGCAGGGTCCCCTCCCGGGCGCGGAGCTGGAAGTTAAAGGGAGGTGTGGGCAGGGCTGGTTCCTAAGGAGGCCACGGGGGAGAACCCGGCCCAGGCCTCCCCCGGCTCCCTGTGGTTTGGGGGCACCCCCGGAGCTCCTTGGCCTGTGGGCCCGTCACCCATCTCTGCTTGTCTTCACCTGGCATCTCCCTGTCTGTGTGTCTAGGTGCAAATTCCCCCCTTTTATAAAGTCACCCGTCATACGGGAAATCCAGTGGCCCGAGAGGCTCCGCAAGGATACAAGAGGCACAGAGAAAGCGCCAGAGAGTGGGGTAAGCGGGCGCCTGGAGAGAGGCCAAAT